GTGGCTCCACTGCCATGCCATGGACCAGCAACCCAGTGTGCCTCTTCCTGTCTTCTAGCTCCCAAAGTTGGTTTTCATCTGAATAATCTATTTTTTCCCTGCCATTGTAAATTTGGTGTTTTGGTTTAGTTTATAATTTAACCACAGTGTGAGAAGAAGTCACTAAGAGCCAGATGTGGCGGCACACATCTGGAATCCCAACATTCTGGGAGACCAATGCAGGAAGGTCACAAGTTCGAGCCCACCCTGGGAAACTTAGTGACTTCTTCAGACCCTGTCTCAAAACAAAAAGGGCTGGTGACATAGCTCAGTGTGAAAGCCCTGGGCTCAATCCTCAGTCCTGGGGGGAAAAAAGCCACATGGAGACCACATGGACAGGCATGCACAATATCCTTGCAGATCCTATCTTTGAGCTGGCCAGGGCTTGCATTCTCCTGCTTTGGAGAGTGAAGTGAGAGGATTTTTAGTGGTAAATGGGGTGGGTTCTTCATATCAGCAGGAATTTTTTTTAAGAGTAGGAAAATTTCTTGGAGAAAAGGAATGGGGAATAGGAATGGGCGAATGGGAAATGAGAATAGCTGCTGAGATATAGGAGGGGTCGCAAATGGGTTGCCCAAGCAGGAATATTTTAAACAATATCTTCCCTATGGTTATGAAGTTCACATAACATTAAATTAACCACTGTAAAGCGTACAAGTCGTGGCACTTACCGATTCACAAAGTTCCACAGCCTCTGTTGGCTGCAGGAGCAGCTCTGCATGCACACAGCTGGGGGAGCAGGACCCAGCACAGCGCGCCTGGCTTCAGGGAGCAACCTGGTGCTTGCTTCGGGGTGCAGGCTGGATCTATCCATCACTGCCACCTCTTCCGTTTACTTACAGGGATGGACAGGGGACCCTGTGCTCCACAGGCCACAGAACCTGGTTCAGCATGGGTCGTGACCAAAGCCAGAACAACTGATGTAAGCCATGGGACTTTTCTGCTAGGGGTGGCTTTGCGAGTGAGAGGACATTAAAAAGAAACAAAAACCCCGATCAGGACCACGGTGTGTCTCTGGCCTTGAGGTTCGGGGTTCAGGGTGGGTGGGTGTTAAAGGACTTGGACCTTCAGGTCCTGGGGAAATCAGGGGTTTCCTGAAGGACAGGAAATAGCATCCTGCTGCTGGGACCCAAAGCTCAGCCTGCTGGCTGCCTCGCTGGAGCTCTGCAGGTTTGCAGGGAAAGTGACAGGCAGGAGCAGCAGATGCAAGTGACAGAAAGCGAAGGAGAGACAGAGGATCCCGGTCTCCAGAGCTGGCCTGTGAATGCCTGGGTTTTCTTATTCTTGGATCCCCAGCACTGGGCTCCCACATTGTCCAAACATTGAACAACTGGGTGCCTTTGTTTAAGCCCTACAGGCTGGGATGCAGTTACTCTCGATGCAGAGTTTGGCTAATATGACCTCCCCCCAGCGGGCAGAAACTCAGCAGTTGTTACAGATGGCACGGATGGTGTCCAAGTGTCCAGGCCGCAGCTTTCCTGGTGGGTGTGACACAGAGAAGACAGTGAGGTGGCGGAGGGGAGCGGAGAGCAGGGCTGGAAGGCAGGAGGGGACGGTAAAAGCAGAGGGAAGGGCCTGAGGAGGGCTGGGGGAAGGACACAAATTCTGGCAGGGTGTGGGACCCCCAACTGCTTCCCTGTGTGAGCTAGGGGGTTGGAGAAGGCTCCAGGTAGATAACGGTAGAGGAATGTATTGCTGTGGGGGGTGGAAGGGCCCCGGGGGCTGGCGCTGAGCTGAGTATGCCCCGTCCTTTGAGATCCCCAGCAACATCTACTCCTGGGTCCTGGCAGCTGAGTGGGTCTGTGTGCCTGCTGCTGGCCAGCAAGCGACACGCACCCAAGGACCACTTCCAGTGCTCTCGTTGGCACGCTGGTTCCTGCGCAAGTCAGGCTGCTGCTGCAAAGGACTGCCCTATCTGCCCCACTGCAGACCTCTGGGCCATGTCACAGGACCAGGAAAGCAACGTGGGGACCTGTAGCCTAATCAGTACATTTCATTCACAGCTGCTCCACACAGTTTGTTTTATTGTGGTAAAATGTACATAACACAAAAACTTACCAATTTAACAGTTTTGAGGCGTACAATTCAGTGGCATCAAGTACATTCACATTGTGTAACTGTGATCTCTCTTTATCTCCACAACTGCAGCATCTTCCTGAACAGGAGCTCTACCCTTTAAACACTAAGCCCATCCCTCCACATCCCCTGCTAACCAATTTCTACTCTCTCCGGGAATTTTAGAATATGTGCAGCCAACATGAGCACAGTCTCCAGGAATTTCATTCTTCCAGGTACCTCTAACATGTGAAATCATGCACGTTTGTCCTTCTGTGACAGACTTATTTCACTTAGTTAATGTTATCCAGTTTGCAGTCCATGTCAGAATTTCCTTCCTTCCTTTTTAAGCCTGAGTAATATTCTATTTTATCTATCTATCTATCTATCTATCTATCTATCTATCCATTCACTGTTGATAGACATTTAGGTTGTTTTTACCTTTTTAGCTACTGTGAATAGTTTTACTAAAAACATTGGTGTACAAATCTGTTTAAGTCTCTGCTTTCTTAGAATATACACCTAGACATGGAATAGTTGGGTCATACAGTATTTCTGTTTAATTTTTTTAAAAATGCAAATTGAACTCAGGACCTCTGCAGTAACTCTAGCCCTGTTATGGCTGTGTCTAGATGTCCCCCCAAAGCCTCATATAGTCATAGGTGGGGCTTTTCAGAAGTGACTGGATCTAGAGTGTGTGATGCTGGGATCAAGGGTGATTATTATATTACTCCACTGACTGGTCTGGCATAGTTCTGAGTGTGGATGGCACCACCAAAGGGTGGGTAGCCTGGAAGGGATAAAAGGGACAGGCAGGGTGCTGCTGGTTCACTACCTTGCTGCTTGCTGCCTTCTGCCTGCCATGAACTTTTTCTTCTGAGACACCTCTCTGCCATACCACCCTGCCTTGGAGACAGCTGATTATGGACTGAAACCTCTACAAACTGTGAGCTAAATAAACTTTTCCTCCTTTAAATTTGGGTGTCTATTATTTTGTCTCAGCAATGAGAAAAGTAGCTAAGACAAGCCCTTTTTTTTTTTTTTTTGTTTACTGGGAATTTTTTTTTTTTTTTTTTTTTTTTTTAATCTTTAATTAGGTTCTCACTAAGTCACTAAGTTGCCCAAGCTGGGCTCCAACTTAGACGCTCCTGCCTCTTGGCTCTGAGAATTTCAACTTGGTAAAAGCAAACATGGCAGTGGTTGTGTAATGACTGTGGTAGTGAACATCTGTAATCTCAGCATTCTAGGAGGCGGAAGCAGGAGGAGCACAAATTCAAGCCCAGCCTGGGCAAGTTAGCAACTCAGTGAGACCCTGTCTAAAAATAAATAAACAAACAAGGGGGTGGCGATGTAGCTCAGTGCGAAGGCCTGGGTTCAATCTCCAGTAGTGAAAAAAAATAAAAGCAACTACACTGTTTTAAGGTATGGTGTGGTGATTTCAGATTCAGATGAACCTTATGCCTCGGGTATTTTTCTTTCTCTTTTCTATGGGATTGGGATGGAACCCAGGTCTTGCACATGCTAGCCAGGTGATCTACTGAGCTACGCTCCCAGCCCAAGCTCAGTTTCTTCACTGGAGCTTGAGCACAGGAAAGTGCCTAAAGTGCTGGTGGTCTAGGGGACAGGACGACTTCTGGCGGCTGCCCCACAGCAGACCCTTGGGAAATGAGGGGCTGCTGGCTGCGGGCAGTGTTATATAAGCCCTGGACAAAAGCAGAAGGTGGTGCCTCACTCCTTTTTCTCAAACACTCTTCCTCTCTGCCAAGCTGGGAGCACCATTTAGTTTGTGGGTGCTCCTCTTGATGTGGACAGTAAAAAATAAAGGAAGGCAGCACGTCACAAATCCATGCAGCTACGGTATGCTGAGGACCTACTATGTGCGTAGTGCTGAGCCACAGATGACAGACATGGTCCTCGTCCTCATGGAGCATAAGCGCGCCATAACTGGCCAGGTGGAGACCATGAGCTGCAGAGTCTAACATCCGTAGCCTGGTGTGGCCACTTGAATAAGGCTGACATTGAAAACTCCTAGGACAACTGTCTGGGGACTGATGGTTGGTCTCAGAGGTCTAGGCCTGGGAGTGGGCAAGACTGACCAACCGGAAAGCTCTGCAGGGCTTCCTGTGGGAAACCACTCCCCAGCAAAGGGCGGCTCTGTCCGTCCCCATGACCCTAAGGAGTGAGCTGGTGGGTGTGGGGCCACTGCATAGGGACGTGCATGTCCCGCAGCGCCTGCCCACACAGCGATGTGTACCTGGAGGGAGCCCAGAGCACTGGGGCGCAGCTGAAGGGCTGGAGAACAGCCGGGCAAGCTGGGAGGTGCCCGGTTGGGAGATGGGCAGGTGGAGGAGCCAGGCAAGGTGGTGGGCGTCAGGGCACCTAGGGCCACAACCTTCCCAGAGGTGGCTTTTGAAGGAGAGGGACGAGCAGAGGGTGGCTGTCCTGGTGCAACTGGACAGAGAGGCTGCAAGTCAGAAACCTGGGGCCCTTGGAGCTGTGTGAGGATGAGCACGGGGAAGGTGAGGGAGGAGCGCAGGTATGACTGAGAGTCTCTGCCGGGAGCGACCTCCAGTGTCACTTAGTTCAGCCTCCCACCCCACGGAATCTTTCAGTATTCCAGTGCCCACCTGAGGGCACCCAACTCTACTTGAACACCTCAAGGTACGGGGAGCTCACTCCCTCCTAAACAGCTCATCACACAGAGGTGCTCGGAGCCTCCGGGCGGCTTGGCGCTCCAACCTTGCCTCTGAGGCGCGGGCCGCCGCATTCGGCAGCACCTGGCTGGGGGCCGCGGCGCGGACAGGCCGGCGCTGCTGTCCCCAGCCCCAGTGCTGAGGCGGGCAGAGCGCAGTGGGCTCTGGCGGAGGTCGGGAGAACTGCAGGGTGAAGGCCGCCGGGGGCTCCAAGGGCTGCGGGGGGGAGCCACTTGACACCGGCCGGGCAGAGGAGGGGCCGCTGTCCCTGCGACCAGTGCTGGATGCGGGGACCCAGCGCAGAAGCAGCGCCAGGTAGCGGGGCGTCGCTGGGGGGAGGCTGCAGCAGGGCCCCGGGCTGGCTCCCACCTGAGGGGCCCGGAGCGGCCGGGAGCGCGGCTGAGCAGGGGTACCCAGGCCTGGCGCACGGCGGGGCACCG